GGGAGGTGAGTATTGGAGTATTGGGGTGATGGAAAACACATTTTACAAAGCGAGAAAGTTTTTCAGTGAGAGTGCACTTATTGAAGACGACTAGAAGAAGGCTGGAAGCTATTCTTCTAAGAGGTGGTTATGAAACCAAATTGATAAGTTGGGTAACTATGTATATAAGCACAAAAAAACCCCAAGGTTGTAACTTATGTCTTCCACGGGACCAACTGTTAGGAACAGGAGACAGGCTTTCACATATTCAAGCAATCTCAGGCATGACCACAGGCATTAAGCTTCAAGCTTGTGTACAGGTAAGCATGAAGTTTTGTAAATAGCTCATATTTGAAGACTTCAGGCCCCCTGCCCCCACAGATATCATATACCAAATTAACAGACATCTTGAACATTATCACAGTGATACTGACCTAACGCTGCAGCACATGTTAATGATTTAATACCTTAATACCTGTGGATGATGGTTAAGAAAGAATGCCAATAGAAATAGAAATGCATTGCCGTGGTACAGCTTACCATGAGAAAGCGATACTGATCTGCTGCAGTTACATTAATAGTAAAATTGAAATTTTATTTTCAAATCACTGAATTTGATGCCAGACTAAAAGAATAATGCTACCTGTTGATTTATGGAGCAATCTGGAAAAGATTAAGAGACAACACCTTATACTACGCATTTATACCCAGATGAACTATGAATTCTGAATGTGCTTTATGAATTGTTGCAGGGTATATTTAGAAGGTAAAATTAAGATACCATTTACTCTAATACGGACAGGTTGAAATCAGAGCTACTACAGGAAGCAAGAAAATACACCTGAAGAATAAAATAGTGTGTCTATTCTGAAAGTCACATGCAGTTTTTCTGCATAAGTTAAAACTTTTATCGTGACAGATCATAAACCATAAAGGAGCTCTTCTGTCTATCAGAAAACTCTGTTTTATGTGTGAATTTCACATCTTATACATGAGGACAGATAGAACTCTTCTGCTGCATTATTGGAGACTTATCAAAAACAGGATGCTTTTTTCTTGAGAAGATGAAAAGTACAGAGATAAGCAGGGAAATAAAGACTGAAGTTTTAACCAATAATATTTTTGTGTGGTTATCAGAGGAATGTAATAATTAATCTTTTAATCATTCTGGAGATTGTGTGAAATCATAATATCTCATCTTTTCCAGCCTCAACCTGCCATTCTTGATCTGAATTACAAACAATAAGAAAGGAGATGATTTAATGAGCAACTTTGTCATGTTGCCATTTCGCCTTAGTCAAAGGCAAATGTCTACTTTCACCTCTAAACTGAAATGGAATAGACTTATGTTTCAACTATGCTCACATCTGTGGAAAACATGAATGAAAAGTTAGGGCTGTTTTGAAGCTAGAACACTGGTGTCTTCACGTTTTCACAGAGGCATAATTAGATGCATACCATTAAGAAGAAACGAACACTAATTTACCTGAAAATAAAATCAGTGTTGCGAAGAGGCACACGTTCACGGGAAGAAGGCTAAAATACAACAAATAATTAAAGAAAATCCAAGAAAGACTGCAGTCACAACGGTAATAGGTATGTTCTTATTATGAAGGAAAATGTCAGCATGATCTAATCATACTCAATAAATAGGCACTTCAATAAAGTATATATTTACACTGTTTTTCTGAATGCGAGGGCATCACAAAGTAGTATGGCTTTATTACAATGGATGGAAGATGGCAACTACTTAGAACTCAGTGCCAACATGGATTATAACAAATCCAGTGAGTATTTTGTTTTTCAATTATTCATAGAAAATTTAATCCTGATTAAGTATCCTTGGGCAGGAATTCATGGGTAGTTGATGACTGAAACCAACATTTATATGAAATGCTTCTGTTAATTTAATCTGTGTATATGGCTTAATTATGATTGAATCCTCAATGTAAGAGAAATGAATTATATCAGGATTAAAATTCTAGTGCCACATCACCCATTTCTTTTTCTTGGCTTTTTTTTTTTTTTTTTTTTAAATGTGAGCCTGCTGTTTTAATTACCTTTATGATGCTGTATCTTCTTAAGCCTCAAATATTGTTCAGATCTTCACTACTAGTTGAAATTTTCAGTTATATTTACTTCAAAAGAGGAAAACACAAACTCTGTTCCCACCCTTATCACAGTTCTAACCAATATGAACAGTAACTGCAAAAAAAAAGCTTTTATTTCACACCAACGATAAAGGAAAGTTTCCTGTAGATGGTTGTAAACATTTTCTATACGTCTTTAGTGGACTTTCCCTCTTTTGTTTCCATTTCCTTTATACTTATACATGAAATGCATCTTTCTCCTAAAGCATGAAAAAAAAAAAAAAAACAACCCAAAAAACTTGTATTCATCGTTAAGGTATCACATCAATTTCACAACTTGCCTATATCAGACTTGTTTGAGCTTGCAGACATTTTAAGAACTGTATTTTATAAGAGTTTCCAACCTAGTATCGATATAAAGTAAGGACATTCTTTGTGGCTGTGAATGGGGGAGGAAAGATTCCTTACACTTTCCTGTGATATGGCTCAGCACCCGTGCTGCACACACATCATATTTAGGAAATTACTCAAATTACAGATTTTTCCACTCAACAATACTTTAACAGATTAACCTAAGGACCGTGTCAGACCAAAGTTCCATGAAATGCTCTGATACTATCACCCAGTTTTCCAGTGAAACCAATACATCACATACCTGTGACAAAAATACCTGCATATTTAGATCATTATTGCACATTTTTTCTTTAACATAACATATTCTTCCTAAACATCTCAGAAGCGATGTCGATTTTTATGTCCAGAGGATACTGTTAGTGGCAATGTCACTGATGACAGTGAAGATACTTCCCAATATAGACTATGAGAGAGAAAAAGTCTGTAGAGGATAACCATGGAGATGCACTGAGAGAGGATAACGCCTATGGTAATAATCTAAAGACAAAAAAAAAAAAAAAAAAGGAGAAAAAGTGAAAAACAAGCCCAAATTAATCTCTACCAGCACACTATGTGTGTGCTTGAAGCTTAACTTTAAATCTTTTAATATTGCTGCAGTTACAGAAGATTTGAACGTGAAGCTCAAGTCCAAGATTCACGCTCTCACACCTGGATGTTTTCAAATCAGCAGATGGCCCTAAGGCAAGTCACATAACCCCTTCTGGCGGTCTCTGTTCCGGGGAATTTCAGACTTGCAATTCCACCACCCATGCAGTTCCACAAGCAGAGGTGATGCTTAGATATTCTTTTCTTACAACAAACAGAGGAAAAAAACCCAACAACCTGAAAATACTCTGAACTAGCACAGTTGCAGAGCTGTGATGGAAGTGATTTAACAGTCTCACTTAGACCTCTTCTCAGTGCAAGTCTCTTAATCTGTAAGAGACACATAGGGCAGTATTTAATCAAAACCATCAAGGTACCTACTGTTTCTGAGAAACCAGAAGTCTAAGTTTTGATACAGAGAGTCTGTTAAAACATATGTTTTTCTTGCGTAAATATAGTATTTATTGATCATACATTTCTATTATATCTAAATGCATTTAAAGGAGGAAACACATAATCGTAATGTAGGAACTCCAGCTGCACATGATGGCTAAACTTTCTCAAAATCTAAGACGACAGCAACTACAGTCTCTCTTCAGTAAACTCAAACTCTCAAAATATTGCAAAATTTTATTAACTCATTCCACCTCTTGTCACTGCTCACCCTACTGCAATGACGTATTCATCAAGCACTACTAACAGATTTTTTTGTTGATCTAGAGGAGGTTTCTTCTTATTTCCCCCTGGATTTCTCTTTTTTTTAAACAAAACCAAACATGGTGCTTCATTATATCAATATTTCATAAATATTATATATTTTCAGTAGAATGTTTATCCCTCTTTCTACATTCCCCACACAAATAAAAGCTTGTTTTCTGAAAATATTTGCATATAAATGCAAAGGTGTTTATAACAATAAAGTAAAGAAGCAAACTACCCTGGACTGAGGTAGCCAATCACCTGAGAATAGAAATGCACTTTATCTGAACATGGCAGGCTCCACACACCAGTTCTCCCAATATGATTAAGCAATCAAGAAATCCAGTAAGTCCACCTTTGTTTTTAAACGTTTAGAGCTCACAAACCAAACCAGGCATTTGGATGGATCTCTTAATCTACAGAATACAGTTCAGCTACAAGTTCCTTGACCTATTTAGCCACATAAAGCTTTTAAATGACGAAGATTGAAAAGCAAACAGCAAAAAAATCCACTTATTTTTCTTTCTGCTAGCTTTGTTAAAAGAACCCCAAGGTGCTTTTAATTAAAAAACAAACAAGCAAACAATAAAACGAAACACCCCCTCCACATTTTCCTTTGACTTAACCATCTCCCCATCCCCCTTAGTCTAGAAACGATTACTCTTAGATGATTCAAACCCAGTATGCCTTTGTAAAATATGACTCACATTAGCATCAATAAGAGCTGTGTGACTAAGACTTTTCAAGTTCCTTTGGGGTCATAAGATTAACAGCCTAAGAGCATGAGTTTGCTAACAAACACTGAACATGAAGAACAACTACTATTCAAATTCCATCTCTTTTATCTTGCCTGTACATACCTTTTCCCTTTGATATTCTCTGAATATTACAGAAACGGTTGCAAGACATGGGTGGCACAAAAACCAGAGAATGCAGGCCTGAAAGAAGAGAAGAGTGTAAGTTATAAAATAACTATACGCCAGCTAAGAAGAAAGAGATGACAGTTAAAGGAACTTCATTTACATTTCTGTCTTTTTTATGAATCCATTGTTTAATTTTCAATCAACAGAATGAAAACCACACAATGAAAGGTGGGATTTCTGTTTAGAAAAGCTCTTTGCTCCTCGTCAAATTAAAATGACTGCTCGGAGTATGATGACAGGGTGCAATTTAATCAAATCAGACACTTAAATATTAACTTTCTTATGGAGGAAAACAGTTCAGTGCTTCAGTCAACTGCGTGCCACAATTACATTTACAGCAAAAGGAATCAGTTTCCATGAGCCCGTACTTTAGCAAAGGTGATATAGAACTCCCTTTTCAGCGTGCTTCTCTCCACTGTGATGATCTGATAAAGACCAGCAGCCAGTGACAAACCTAGGCAAACTCTGAGGCCAATAAGCAGTCCGCTTGCTAAGCCATGGTGTGAATGGTAGCTGTGATGATTAGTATCTTCAAACTGTTCCCAAATTAATAAAAAGGTCTGGGAAAAAAAAACAAAACAACAGTAACATATATTTAGAAGGCAACAATCTTACATGAAACTTCAATTAATCTTTCTATCACAGATCAAATTATCAGCACAACTGGGCATGCTCTTCTCTGCTTGCTGCAGACTGCCATGTTACATAACAAATAATCTTGGCCAGAACTGCTTTTCTAGGACTGTGCATTACTCCAAATTTGACTGCCAGGAACAGGCTCTCATGTCTTGCATTTCATAACTCGTACAAAGTTTGACAAGTTACAGTTTTCTCTAACTCAGGTAGAAGGAATGTAGCAGTTTAGCCTAAAATCCCAAATATGAATGTAGTTAAACAGTCAGCCTAGTCAGGAGGAAGCCCACTGAAACGATACAGGGAGGCGTCCGCTTCCAGTTGGGATTCACAACCTGTAAAGCTTGTTTCAAAAGCAGGCGACTACGCCTTTTCTTTCAAAATCCTAACAGGATTCACTTTTCTTTTTAAAGATGGGGAAGTAAGAGGGTGGTGCTGCTGCCCCTTTTATACAATAGCCTGAAGGATCAAGCATTCACCCAAGTTGAACTCGGATCTCCCACAATTCCCTTCTTTGCCTAAAGGAAATCCAGCTCACATCTCCCACCTCCTTGGAGAGTGCCCTAACTGCCAGGCTATAGGCTGTTCTTGGGTGGGCCACTCTCCACCCCTTCTATTGAAGCTGTGCCATCGTGGAGAAAAGAATTCAACATCAGCTAGGTCAGAAACCGTGAGCGAGCCTGACTCTGCAAGCAGCTGGCTTGGAACCCTCTTAGGGACGGTGAAAGGCAGTGTCACAGGTTCCAAGTGCTGTTGCAACACCTGGACAAACACTCCAGCCAACAGATAGCTACATGCAAGACAGTAATCCACCTTAACTCTCAGAAAAACAGTACTGTATCCACTTGCTGTAGAATCCAATGTTAGAAGAGCACTGTGAGAAAGAATACTGATAGATTCTCTAAGGAAAAACAGATTAAGAAAAGCCTACTTTCTGAGTCTCAGCTGAATAGAAGGCAGGTGCCTACTTGCAGAATTGCATGAAAGTTGGGTCTTGCTGAATAAAACCTTTTCAAGAGTTCGGGATTGTTAACATTACAAATTAGAATACCCATAAAATTTAGGCTCCCAGCAGCATGTAGCAGCTGAGTGGCATTTTAAGAATTGAATATACACTGGAATCCAGTCCACCTACTACAGACATATAACTTGCACTTGGGTTTCAGATGCCTAATAAAGCAGGCTTTCTGAAAAAAGGTAGTCAAATTTGATTTATATGAGCAAGGTAGCTCTAAAGCCCGACAAAAAAAGAGACACTGTATGCCTCAATTTAGAAATCTACATTAGTCAGATTCCTTTCTGAACAAATTCAAAGGCTCTCTAACTACATCAATATTATAAAGACAGAAAGGTTACTGATATAAACTTTTTTTTTTTAAAGGTGCAATACACCTGTGCATTCCAAAGGTGGGTGCCCTCAAGTCTTGTCAGTTGAGACTAGATTGTTTTTGGCTAAGAATATGCTTTGAAAGTACTCTTTCACTTTTTCCTTCCCTTACTCAGGCTATGACACAGTGAACATGACTGCTGTCATTTTAATTACTTCTCAGCCACCTGAATAGAAAATGGAAATATGAGGAGTAAGAAGTGTAAAGCACATCCTGAATATCACCGATTACTACTAGTAAATAATCTGACCAATGTTCTACAAACACTGCTGCTGAAACACCTTTTCAGGGCAACTCCAAGCAAATAACTGAAGATGATAGAATTACTTGACTGAGAATCCTCTCAAGGATTAAGCCTGAAATAAGACCAAGTGGCTCTTAAAATCCTGAGAAACAGCAGTGTTTGGTAAAGCTGTGGCTAAAGCACTAGTTTTGGTATGAAACGGATGAATTCCCAACACAGAAGTAGAATTTCAGATGAGGCAGAATACACCCAGAAAACATCAAGGATTCTACCAGTTATAGAATGACAGCAGTCTTGTACAAACCATTTCATTTTTTGATGTTGATGCATGGAAACTCAATCTTTTAATATCCTTGGACTGGACACACCCTAAGAAAATTTCAGAAAAATTATATATATAGAATCTCCCTGTCATGAACATGAAGCGTGATACCAATTCAAGTAGGAATTTTAGGTAGATGCCACAGCTATCTCAGCTTTGAAGAACTGAGCTCACGAGGGTTTGAATTATCCTTAACCTACCACCAAAAGTAGCATCAGTGAAGGAAGCCACTTTCATGAGAAGATGACAAAGAGCTGGAGCAAAGCAATCACGAGAACAAAGTCCAAATCCTCCTAGGAAAATAGCATCTGACAACATGGTACGCTCAGGACTAGCCCTCTAAAGAATGTAAGCTGTGCAGACAACACAGCTGAACAAAGACTGTATGCAGTGACAGCAGTGTGAGATCACAGAAGTTCAGCTCCTTTAAGTTTCACGAGGCTATTCCAAAATAATTAGAAAGCAGAAGCATTACAGGCAGAAATGGAACTGTCAGCGCAACACATAGGAAACCTGGAGAAATAAAAACATTTGTCATTGCTCTTACTATGAGCAGGATCTATTCTTGCTCACTGGAGAAAAGCAGCATTCTATAAAGTAGAAATCCGTGCTACGGAGTGTTTGTAAGCTAGAGTGGATTAGGCAGTGTGTTCTCAGTGAAGGGAGAGCTTTCACAGACCAACTTGATTTTGAAGTCAAAATCTCCATGGCCATGCCTGAGAATAATGTTAGTAAGCCCTGGTGCCCTTCAACTTGACCAGAGAAAGGCACACATCTGCTCCCTCTCCTGCAGTATTGGGAATGAGATGAAAAAAATACACAGGCACCTACATGCTCAAAACGAAATCAGATTTTGTTGTTGTTACCATTGAGCAGAACTGTTTCACCTCTGAGAAGAAATCAGGATGAATATCCTAATTGTTATCCAGAAGAACAACTCTGCTTAGGCTGTTTATGGAAAAACTGGACAAGATGTATAAGTGCACAGCTTATGTCCAACACTAAAGTCAGAACAAGGAGATGGTCTTTCCCCTTTATGTAACATACCAGACACAGGACACCAACTGCTGTCCAGTACTGTTCTCTCTCTAACAGCTAGAAGAAGCTCACCAAGGATGTTATCTTGATGTTCCTGTCATACAAGTTGGATCTCCACATCCATATGATGAAGAACCAGTCACCTCCTCTGTCATAAGGAAACATTTATGGTGGAAGCCCTTACGCCCCTTGCTATGCCAGCAATGACTTTAGATCAAGATAACATATCAATCTCTAGTAAAAGTCAGTTTGCATGGAGTAGATAATTGCTGAGACATAAAGGTAAAGGGGAAGCAAAACGGAAATTAGGTGGCAGGAATACAAAACTAGTGTCTAGTACTTGAGTATGCAATGTCATGAACTCAGGTATAGTAGCAGATGTTTCAGATCTGAGGTCAGAGGCATAGCTCACCCTGAGTGCACCCTTGGAGTGTATCTAAGACCTCTGTGAAGCATGACTTCTAATTTACCAAGATTCTATATGCATTTTGGTCAAAGTGATAAGCTTTCTTTCTGTAATCGCTACCTCTGCTCTGATCAGCCCTGAAAGTTGAAACTGCTCAGGTCTATGTGATGGAAAAGGCTTGTTATCAGTAAAACGTTATGAATAAGGTTTGTCTCTCACAGCAAAGTGTGGAATAGTTAATGAATGCAGAGCGGTCTGGAAATCTTTTGTGCTGAGAATGAAAGAGAAAAAAAAAAAAGAACAAATTAGGAGAAAGGGAGATGATGAATGGTAGGCTTGTCCCTCCTTTGAGATGCTACGTTTGCAGCAAGATTTTGCTGGCAAGGAGGCAATGGCCACTCTACATTGACGGCAACCTGTAAACACAACCTGGGAAGTTGGTGTTTTTAAAGAATAAAAGCAAAGAATCAGTAGCATCAGTGGGATGGTAGATTCAGATTCAGTAGATTCAGTGGAAAGAGGGGAGAAAACAACAAGAAAAACAAACCAACCAACAAACCCACCCCCCAAAAAAACAACCTGAAAACTTTCTGAAGAATGTGAATTAGAAGTAGGACAACAGCAGAACATCAATAAAACATGGTTCAAACTCTATCTGCTGTGTTAAGGTAACACATGTGGTTTCCAGTATCCTCCATAGCAATCCAGAGAAATCTCTGCTTCTACACATAGGTCTATCTAGTTTCTGGCATGGAAAGAGGCTAGCTCTTCCATAAGAATTTCTGTGAAAGAGCAGGACAGAAAGGAGATTATGTTATGTTATTAGAAGTGAGCACTGATCACCATCATCGATTGCCCTGTTACAGCAGATCCAATACCCACATCAATCTAGACCAATAAGCAGTAGACTCATCTAGAGAATGAGGTCCTGAGGTCACAGAGTTGACATGGCCCAGGTTCTGCTCCCCTGAGCTCAACAGTTGCATTCTTCTATAAGGAGAAGAAATCTGTCAGAAAAAAAATAGTACGTACTGAATATGTGATGGAAAACATGCCCTACAGAAAGGCTAGGGATACTCTTGGTGTCAAAGAACTTTTGCTGGAGACAGCAGACACTGAAACAGACTGGAGACCCACACAGGCAATGACATACTCTGATATCTGTATTCTGTTCCTACAGGACTCCTACCAAACCTGACATTCCCAACAGTACTGAAAAGCGAGATGAGTCTTCTCTCACAGGGAGAAGACAGCCAACTTTATACTAATCCTCCATCAGTACTCAAATAGCCAATGGTATATATGTAATGGACCAGTACTGGGGCAGCATGCCTGTATGATGCTTGCCCCTGTTTTCGCCACAAGTAACAACTAAAAAAAGATCAAGTTGATGATACCAAGTGCCCTTTTTGTGTATAGCAAAAAGGAAAAAACAACAACAAACTTTCCAGTCTCAAGTGACAGGATATTAACACATCCATATGTATGTACCAGAGGAGAGGCACGAATAGAATTAAATACTTTAGAAGTCTTTACTACCAGTATGTAAAACTTCTGGTGCTAGATAGATTAATTCCACCTTACTTTGACACCCATCTTTAAATTCAACAGTCCCATTGACCTTAATAGGCTTTGGTTTATATTCTTAATTAGCAAGAATACTGTAAGCTCCCAGCTACTCTTAATGTTTTAGCAGTCCACTTATTTAGTTTGGAAGCAGCACTAATTACAGACATTACTCAAATGGCATAAAATCTTTAGTATGATCTCTTCCTCATTACTGTCTCCAGTTTCTCCCTGTTCTTCTCATTCTCAATGGCTTTCAGATTCTCTTGTCTTTATGCTGTGATTTAAAAAAATTTGTTTACAAAAGCCACCACCAGGGTTAGATGATCTCTATTACAATTTACTTTTAAGTTACTGGTTTACTTGACTTTCTAATTTATATTAATAGAAAAACATTTGAATGAAGTTATGTGTCACATCATTTGTATATTTGCAAGAACAATTCTGCATATGAACCCTTAAAGAATTGCCTTATACTGATTGAAGAGACCATTAGACATCCTATTGGAGTGGTTCGAAGATGAGGACACAATCTCATATTTTTGGTGACAGAAAAAGGAATCTTTCTCTCATCTTTCCTCCTATGCTCCTCGTTGTCAGCACTAGTGTCACAGTTCACAACCATGCAACCATACTGATGACAGCTATTTATAGGACCACATTACAAATCAGATTGGTAAAACTGTGCCAAACCTTATTTTCTTTTCCTTCCAATTCAGTCTAGAACATTCCACTGATCTGGTTTGCAGCACAATATTATGAACAACTGATACAACTGGGAGTTCAGAGAACTGTGGGAACTTCTTAAGTGGTTTTACTGCTGAACAAAAACGTACTGTGGAGCTATACCTTAAACTGTTAAAATAAAGAGGAACTGCTGTTACTTATTAGACTTGCTGGGTGCACACTGTGCTGTGGGTTTTTTTTTTTCTTCTCCAGTCTTGATACTCTTGTTTCTCATAAAATACTGAAATTAGTTGGTTCATAGTTCTGTCATACTTAATAGCAACTGTACGTTTCAGCATAAGAATGAATGTAAAATACAAACCTGTGTAACAACAACTACTACAGCAATGCCAGTAGATGTTGGAGTGGAATCCCATTGAAGAGGTCTGCTATGAGATTTCTTCATTCTGCCTATTGTCCAACCCATACATAGACTCAAGAGCAAATAAAGCATTTGTATCTGAGAGACTATGTCACACACTATTAAAAACAAAAGAAAAACATTCAGAGTCAAAACAAAAATACACTTTTTTTCTTTTTTTCAAAACAAAGAGAAATATTCACTACACCCACAAACAAAGGATGGATATTTATGCCTCAGAATCACATTTGTTTATAATCTCCATTAACAGTTTGATTAGCTGAAGTTCCTTTGCCATAAAATGTGGCTATTTTGATCATTTTTAAATGACCAAACAAGCCAGGACCAGCTTCCCTCTACTTATGCTGTAATTCTGCAATGACATGGGCACAGCGCCATGTTCTTCCAACTTCTACTCTTGTGTCAAAGAAGTCTAAGCTCAGGAATCCACCTGCATAAACAGACTTATAAAGGCCAGTGGACTAAAATCATATGTATGTTAATCACACAGCAAATATGAAACACAATGAAACGAACTCCTTCCTTTGTTCCACAAAACTTTTGTTCAAAAATCAAACAGTGGCATTGTACTTCTAAATTAACTGCATTTTGTCTTAGGGAAGGCGTAGCTTGCAACAGAAAGCACAAACATTTGGGACAAATTTCACAGTCAGATACTTTAAGGGGTAAATATAATGACTAACCCTAGCACTGACTTAGTTTGGAGCAGTAATCTGTCTGTACTTCATTAATAGCAGACTCCCTTTGCCTCATTTCACTGTGTACACTTCTTTTTTCCCAGTCTGGAAACAACTAAAACATACTTCATAAAGCTACATTCTTAATCAGAGTCTCTAACCTGTGTTTGAAGCAGCATCTGAATAAGGAAAATTTCAAGCTAGAATATACTAAACCATTTGTTTTCCATCCTCACTGAAGTTCTGCTTATATTAGAAAGAATTGAAAGTTTATTTCCAGGTGATTGTTAAGCTTCAGAGCTCGTAGAATCACAGAAAATCTTGAGTTTGAAGCTACCCACAAGCATCACTGAGCTGGTAAATTCCTGACTGAAACTTACTGAACAATTTTAAAGCTGGTGTATAGACTTCAGTGCAAACTAGCTCAAAGCAGTAGCATAGCAGAGATCTAAAAGCAACTTGAGAAATTAGCTCTTGTGTAAATTTCAAATTTGTTTCAGAAATTAGAGATGGTCACTATGTGCAATAATCCTTTTTATTCACTTAATATTTTAGCTCATTTAAATTAGTTCCATACTTGACATTTCCACTTCTGTTATCAGATATAAGATAAATATTTCTACAGCATAGAGGGAAACTTCCATTTTTATGCAACTGCTGGAATGTATTATAAAAAAAAAAAGTACTTCCACATACAATAGAAAATGCTGCCTCTGTACACAGATTAACACGCACACAAGGGATTTGTGTCCAATGAAGATCAGCTACTGTATTTCTTTGACACTCAGCAATACTAGCAAAATATGGCTATAAAAAATTTCAACATGTTAATATGTTACTATTGGGATTTATTTGGCATCCTCATGCTTTATACGCTTTCATACTTCTAACACCTTCAGACACCTTTGTTATTTAGCAAATGTCAAAGAGCTTTTAGTAGACACAAACTTGAAAAAAACAAACTGGTATTTTGGGGCAAAATGAGCCTGGAATTATTTTACAATGCTAGCTAGGCATGATACACCCTAGAAAAATTGTTATGCGAGCTCAAGGCACATCAAACTCATGTTACAAATCCAGGCTAGACAAGTGTCTGAATAAATCTGGATGCTCTGGAGAGCATTCAATCATTTTATTTTCTCTCAGTTCTTAAGATAACCTTCCCTGTAAGTTATAGCCAGACATCATCTTTCAACCTCATCTTGGATACAGACATTCCTCTGCTCTTCAGTGTAGTAATAATGCAAGTGGATTCCCAGGCAAAATGGTTTAAGACAAAAATCAGTACAGGCTTTAGTCATTGGTGCTACATACATCTTACCTACAAGTGAGAAGAGGCTTTATATTTAAGAAAAGTTGGAAAATGATGATCTTATGATATCTAGGATCAGTATAAAGTCACAAGCTACCGAACTGATACCTGAATTATATACATACACACTTACAAAGCACATATCACCACATCGATAAACTTTTTTCGAACCACTCTGACGGCAGGACTACGAACAGGGGTTGGCCTGAACAACTTTTTCAACTGATCAACAGCTATTATAATACTATTTGACTTTTCACATTCTGATCTTGTCAGAAGTTAAAAGATTGCTATTTGAGATGCTTTTACGTGCCAGAATTATTCATGTGATTTATATGATTATATGATTTATTCAGATGAGTTAGACAGTGTCAGGTTTTTATGCATAGTAAGGATTAAATAATGCTGGGAAATGAACAACTGCTTGGCATAGCATCTGAACAGGTTTCTAGAAGAAATTCTGCTCCCAGCAAAATTAATGAAAATGGGATCATTTAACCAGGATTTCTGTTCTAACACAGGAAAAAAGATGGTAGCATCTTCCATCTCCAAACTATACTTGCTATTCGCTATTCTTCAGAACTGTAATCAGTACTGAAGCTTTCCACTTTTCCTTCTGCTTTCTTACTGTTTTGGGAACCACAAATTTTAAAAACAGTATGAAAGGGAAAGCCTTTCAGCTGAGTCATCTGAATTCAGGTATTGACTCAAAGATACTATTTCATTCTTAGTAACCTTCACTGTAAGCAAACAGAAGTGTGATTTCCACTTCAATCCATACACGCATACACAGAAACTCTCAGATGCAGCTATTTTCTCCACAGTTCTGGTTGCGTAGTTAACACTGCATTTCTCAGTGGAGAGGAGTTATGGCTACTTCCATAGTCTCAACTTAATTTCATTTCAAGGAGACAAGAGGGAAAATTTAAAAACCCAGTTGCTACAGAGGCTGCAAAGAGTTCTAACCCGACTTCTTAAAACAAGAGTGTCAATTACTGTGGAGCCAAGTGCCATCAAGAGGCTGTTATTTCCAACTGCAAGTTTCTAAAAGAATTCTATGAAGGGAAGTATTTTTCTATATAGGTTGTTACCTGCCTGTGTCATCTCACTATGATAGTGCTGCTTTCTTGGCATGCTCAAACGAATCAAAGGGCAACATATTAGCTCAGAAAGAATCACTAAATGCTTCAAATGTAAAATACACAGAGCAGAAATAATAAAGAAAAGCAAACTTAGATTCCAATCTTGCAATAATAAACTACTGCATTTTGGGTAGCATTGTTATAAGAATTCAGTTCACATGAGAGCCCAGGAAATCTATACAGAGCAACAAAAAACGCTTTGTTACCATCAGTTCTTTGCATAATTATTTTTTAGACCTTTCTAACCTTATCACTCGTGCTGTAAAACGTGCGTTTGTTATAATCAAGTTAAATTTGCTAATGAAATGACACACTCCATAAAATGTAATAGTTTCCTAAAAAGCTTCAGTGGATCATGAAAATTCAGCAAAACTCTTCAACATATTGAAAGATTTACTCACGTGACAGTTATGTAGGTAAATATTTGTAGGATGGATCACAATCACAGGGTTTTAAGTGCAGTTACTCTAAACTTTCTAAATAAAACCTACTTTTCAGAAGAACAGTTGCTCAATATTTCATGTTAGAAATACAATGACATGGGGTAGGGTAATGATTCAGTCCAACAAGAACATTCATTAACATATTATACAGATTAATGTTTAGGAATACATAAGAAACAGCAGATGAGCATACTCACATTCAGCCAGACTTCCCATAAAAGGTGCTCCTATTCCATCCTTGGAATAACTGATAACAGAATAAAAGATGATATTTTAAAGTAAGTGATGCTTAAGTTTGTGCTCTCTCTATAACTATACTTGGGCAACTTCTAAAAAGTGAGCCCTATGTTTTGTAAGAATCAGTACAGGAAAGACCATGTACTAATCTTTAAAACACCACGTCCTTCAAGTCTTAACATTAAAAGCAAAAGTAAAGATACCTTGAGAAATGCAAGTAGTTGGCAAAAGCTGAACCAGCCTGCAACAATAATGCAATTGAGAGCACTTTTAATACAGTATGCATTGGTCCGTGCTTCTTAATTGTCTGCCATAAAGACTGTGCATATATGCAAGCAGTTACAAAGTATGCTAGGACAAGCAGGAAATAGAATTCATGTAATCCTGTGGAAAAAAAAAAAAAAGAAATACAGCTCAGTTTTCATACAGAAATACTATTGTTAGCAGTAAGCTAAAATCTCCATATGTTATTTATATAATCACCGGATAATACTAAGTAATTGTCATCCAAAAATGATAATAAAGATAAAATGTGTAAACCCTAGCCTATTTTATCCAGGAGTCAATGAATTCTTCCAAAAGCTGATTAGGAAGTATTTTTTACCCAATAATACCTTTTCTGAGCTTAGGAGAAATTCTGTTCAAATATGAAAAGCTCTGTAGCAATTACTGATGTAGTATAAAGTGGCACCCAACTTCCTGATAAAAAGAAAATAATTGCAGCCCATTCATTGGAAATATATTTATTAAATGACTCATTTTTAGTCATTTCTTTTTTTTTGCTACAATTTCTAAAGGCACAGTATGAAAAGAGAAAAAACCCAGGACGCTGTTAACCACTGGGTGTCACTATTCTTCCACATAAAACATTTCAAGCAACAGAGCTAACAAACACAGAAAACTTTCAGATGAAGTGGAAAGAAAAAAAACGAACAGAAAATTAATAGAGTGTTTTTTTTTTTTTGCACCAATCTAAAAAAGAAATGTGCAAAGTTTCTGATATCTACAAAACAGAAGCTGTTTGACTTTCAGTCTAGCAGTAGTTGGGCAAGATATTGCTCTGAAGACCTGGATCCTGGCCTCTTTGTTATCTAAAAACAGTAGAACACACTATATGAGCTAACAGAGAGTAAAAAAGCCAAGGAACCATAAGTTAAAATGGGCAAACAGGAATTCTACACAGAAGACTTCTGTTTTTCCTCTCCAGCCTTCCTCGAAACCACGCAATGCCTGCAGAATCAGGCTTTATTTCCAGCAAAACAACTCTTAAAAACTTTCAGCCAGCTTCCACCAGAGATGAAAAACAGCCTTCAATATGTAAGCTGAAGATCATTAGAACTAGATGAGTTCTTAATATTTGCTAGTACTATAACTTCTATGGCTAAAATGCATACAGTGAAACAGGAGACAAAGACCATATGTTCACAAAGAATCACTAAAAATCTAACACTTGAGAGCCACTGTGCCTCCCTTGTATACCTCTGCCTAATCTATGATTGACCAAAAAAAAGCATTTTTAGGACAAAATCTTTTATTCTTTTCACTTTTTAATCTGTTTTCAGGTTGGACGGTAGGAAATACTACTTCCCTGAAAGAGTGGTGAGGCACTGGAATGGGCTGCGCAGGGATGTGGTGGAGTCACTGATTCTGGAGATGTTCATTTAGATGTTGTACTGAGGGACATGATTTAGTGGGCAATATTGGTGGTGGGTGGACAGTTGGACTGGATGATCTTTTTCAGCCTTGGGGATTCTATGATTTTTCAGCCACCCACCAAAGTTGGAAAGGATTATGTAGATATGCTATTTCTCATCATGATGATTGAGTGCACTTTAAAAACTCTCTTAGGAAAAAAAGAAAGGCTTTTAACAATAAGCATTTAGGATAGAAAGCTCTTTGCCACTAGAGAGAAACTGTGGCGATTGGTGTGAGACAAAAAAATAAAACAACAAAACAATCAAACCCACAACCAAAAACACTCCACCAAAAAAACAACAGAAGTGATTTTCAAGCTCTCTTTTTAAGTTTTCCTCCTTCCACATCACTTCGAGCTGGGGAAATAGCTCTTCATCAGGGAATGCAGCGATAGGACAAAGGATAATGGTTTTAAATGAAAAGACTGTGGATTTGAATTAGACATCAGGACAAAATTCTTCACTCAGAGTGCAGTGAGGCACTGCAACAGGTTGCCCAGAGAAGCTGTTGGATACCCATTCTTAGAAAGCCAAGCCTGGATGGGGCTTTGAGCAACCTGATTTAATAGAAGATGTCTCTGCCCACATCAGATAGTTGCAAATGGATGATCTTTAATGTCCCCTCCAACACATTCTGACACAGAAAATAAAACATGTATGTTCATTTCAAGTTCCTAACTTCAAGATCATCCAGATGCTGTTCACCCGGTCAGCTGCTCTTGGAAGCTTTAGATCCCACTGCAGGTCTTATCTAAATATCTATCTTACCATGTAAAATGTTAAAAATTTCTTGCTAGGGACTGGAAACCAGGCCTCCTTCTCACAAAAAGTAAACACCCTAATCAGAAAGTTATATTTGCAAGTTCTTTCCTATACTTTCTTTATAGTCATGTAATTTTGAGAATGCTTCATGGCAGAGACACAATTTTATGGACTAGAGTAAAGAGTGACTTAACTGGAACCATCTGTAGCTAAGCAGATGTTATCCCCCTCAATGAAAATAAAATACAAAAAATGAACCTGGATCTCTTCTCTGATGGTCTAATGTTCTAGAGAGAAGAAATCCTCCTCGGTTCTTTGAAAAGTAGACATAGGCATGTCACTTCAGGATTCCTGGCAGTGTTGCTGTTTTTCATTCTGAATAAAGAGGTGTTCATCTGCAACCATGGAAGACGTGGCATGTAAAGCTCATCCTATTTCCTACTTCCTACAGCTTCATTATAGATCTACTTACATGGCATGCAAGCTTTTCTGAGTTCTGCTTCCTAATTTTCAAAATCTTCTTTAAAAAAAATACAGAGAGCTGAGGTGTCTCCCTAGGAGGTCTGTACATTACTTAAAAGCCACATAATGCTAAATTAAAGGCCACTGTCTCTCAATTTAGCAAAAGAACACGATAACTACTTTTTGAGTATAAGTGAATTAACTTAGAATTTACTTCTGCATACAACATTCACCAAATTAGAACTACCAACCACATTTGCAGAGTAAGAAGCACAACTGAGAAGAGGTAAGTCAACCTGTAAGTCTGGAGAAACAGTTGATAAGTAGCTTTCTTACAGGTTCCTCTGAAAGTTTCAGTGTGAAGATTTTCCTCCCTTCAACAAGGAACCCGCCTTCGTTCCCTCTACATTCTGTGGATACCAGTTAAGACAGCCGAGCACACAATTCTTAGCACTGCTATAAGGCTACACCTGAGTATATAGGCTACATCACTATATGAAGACAGACTAAGCCTTCTGGGCTCTTTCTATATTACAAGCAAAGTCAGTGACATGTTATCTAGGCCTTCCAAAGCAGTGAAGCTAAGCACTAGATTTCAGTTGATTTGGGTTGGCCAGAGTGTCACACAATTTTATGTATGCTTATCTTCTGCTGCTGCCTTGAGTCATTTCCAAAAGTTTTTCTCTGCAGGTCTAAAGACTTAAATTCGTATTTTTTAAATAAAAAACTTAGGATTGAAACATTTCACAGTGTGCAGCCTGTGAATAACAAATTTGGAAAGACCTAGATGGTGAACTAACACTGTACTGGCAAAAAGTTTATGTTGTGCATGAACTCATATTGCACAGATTCAAGTCTTACAAAGTCTAGCTAAGGAATTCCACACATTAAATAAACAAATACATTAAAATCAGGGATTCAATTCACAATCAATTGGAACAATTTCAATAGAAAAAAAAAACAACAATGTATAAGCAAACATATCAACACAATCTTTTCTTGTGTATTATATCTGTAATTAGGTAAATTTTGGTAAGTCAGCCTAGAGAAAGGGAAGGATTTTTCCCTAATATCAGAAAATGAACTTAAGTTTACTCTTCTTTTAGAAAGTCAGATCTGAAATGTAAAGGATTCTGCTGTCCTTTCCCCAGTAGCATATTTTCACAAGCATAGTAAGTACTAACTTGTTTGGGAGATCAGATCCTTAACTTACAAATCTAATTTTAAGAAAAGAAATCTTACCAGACTCCCCTGCGCTAAAGTGATCTAATGGATTCCCTTCTGCATCTGGATTTAGTAAGACCATTTCAAACTGAATATCCTCGGATTCAGAATAATTCTCCTCGCAGGTAAACTTGTCTACATAAAACACATACCATGTTTCCGGGTAAGGAATCTGGGACACTGTCAGATTTTGCTCTGTGTGGTTCACAGTCACTTTGGAAGAAAAAAAAAAAACAACAAAAAAGGAGTAGAGACTTGATTAACTTGTTTTTATAAACCTTATACTTAAATGGAGATAGAATTTAAATAGACAACATTATTTACAGCTTATGAACTACAAACAGTGCAAAACAGTCTTTGCTTTGAAGCCCACCACAACAACTGAGATGAGACTTCCAGTCTCATCTTTGGTTTCAACTAGGTGCAGACAATGGCTGGTGAAGATATGAACTGTGTTCCATTTCTCAACTTTTGGGTTTGGTAGGATGGATCCATTCCACCAGAAGCTAGTAACTGCAAACAGTATCACCTTCAGCACATTTCTGTTCTCTGGTACAGTATCAGTGAGACTATGTTTTCTGTATTAACCAAGAGATACTTACTCATTAAAAAATATATATGTTTGTGAAATTGATTCTACCCCATTTTCAAAGATATTTAGTGCACAGAACAAGAACAGCCACACGCAACACCACTACTTGATGAGCACTCTTTGAAAATGCAACTTTGCATTCCCAAACCGACAGAGACAAATTCAACAGACATTAAGGGGCTGAGGTCACTGTCTGAAAAAAAAAAAATACACATTTCAAATCAATGACATTAAAACTAACTATGCAGGACTGAAAAATTTTATCTGCTTACTGATGTCAGCAGTATTTTTCCTAAAATCAACTGTTAACCATTGGACAAGCTCTCCAAAATAAATTTGCTGCATACCAAATATGTGGCTCTGTATGTTTGAGTGAAACTACAACAACTGTAAGCACTGTTACACTGGTTACTGAATTAATTAATGAGTGTAACAGTGATCATTGCTTATCAGCTCTACCATAGATGAAAGTTGTTTCTGTAGAAGAACTGAAAGTGTAACTACTGGACTGTTGATAGATTCATTTTAATATTTTAAGTTCATTAAAATTCTACAAAAGCTGGTTTTTATGCAAACCTTTTTCTATAAGAGAAAACTACAAATATCGGCATAAATCAACCCCCAGCAAACTCATTATCTCTAAACCTGTAGTAGACAAAATTCAAAATTAATTTCTAACTTAAAGGCAACTTATGAGAAACATTTATACAATTTAAACAAACTTGTTTCAAATTATGTTCTGTTCTTTGAAGGCATATGCTTCCTGGATCAACAGTTGGATCCAGGAAGAAATATATGACACAGCTCTCTGCAGCAATTGTCATGAAATACAAATGTGGACAACACATGAAGCAGAAAAAAAATGTGTTCTGATTAAGGCTGTTGTTCTGTGTAGCTAATACTAAGCAAGTGTTCCATTTCAGAACAGTGTATCTTATAAATTAAATATTCAAAATGAAAGAGCTCCTTTAAAGAAAGCAACTTTTGTAACGATAGATTAATGATTTCATACGTAGCCTAATTAAAACAAAAAAAAGTTAAATGGCATGTAGAAGGGGTAGCTCTACTCTCCATTCATACTCTCAGTTGAATTTTAGTATAGCCTTAACTACATAAAGACTAGGGATTGTGTTTTCCATCAAACCTGCAAGCTAACTTGTAGGATGTGAAGTAAAATTAAATAAGGCTACAATTGATTTTGCTCTTGTACATCAGAGTGACAGGTTTGTGCTATCACAATATCCTTTTTGCTTTTTCTTTCTCTTGTAAAGTGTTATTCTCCATGAAACTGGGAAGAGAAGCCTCCTGACAAGTAAGAACTGGAAAAAGGTTTTACTGCGTGCTTGGTGTATACACTCCTATCTTACAAGCATTCATTTCAGAGGTTTAATGCTAACTTCTGAAGGCCCCATTGGTTTGAGTCTTTTTCATTCTACTGCAATAAAAGTGATAATTCAAACTGCACATTTGACTACATCATCCATTTTGTTCACTCTAACTACTTCAGCTTCACCTTGTAAGAGCATTCTTTCTAATTCTTCATACATTAACCTTTTTACAGAAAGGTCTGAGATTTAAAAAAAACAACAAACTTTTTACTTTCACTCCAAGCAGAATTATAGAAGACTTCTGTACTCAATGAGTAAATGCAAGCCTGAACCTCATTTTTAAGCTGTGTGCAAATGAGAGCATGAGAACAGAACTTGTCATCAAGTTTGCAGTAATGTCACTGCTTGTCAAGGACTGCCATTTTCCAGTGGTCTATTGAATTATAACTTGCAAACAAAGTCTTCTGATGCGATACAAAGAAGCAATTGCACTCCTTGTAATCTTTTTTAATTACAGAAGGTCAAAGTTCTACCCTGACTTAAGCCCATGCAAAGTCCAAATTCACTGATACATGGAGTTTCTAAATACACATATAACTTAATTCATAATGGGAAGATAGAAACTCACTTGTCAGTTGAGCTTTAGAGAATTTCTCTGTACAGCTGTGATCCTGGATGTGATTCTGTAGCTTCTCCCACTCCTGTGCTTGAAACAGGTGAAGTCTGGCTTCTTTTGTCACAGCTGCTGCTACATTGGTGATTCGGACACACAGAACAGCATGGTCACCTTGACATTTAAAAAACAGAATCAACTGCTTTGCCCTGATGCAAGTCATAAGAACAGAAGGTTAGCACAGCAGAAAGTTTTATTAAGTAGCCTCACCTCACTTCTAAGGTTTTTTTTTTTTTTTTTACACCATTTTCCATAAACGTTTGTACATTTTCACTATTTCTCTACATTTCAGTAACATAGTACGAGAACAGCACTTAAAAAAACTTTTAACATAACCCAAATGGCATTAACCTTCTTTACTTCCCACTGCTTTCTTCTTTTTCAAACGGACTTCCAGACCATATTTTTCTTCCTTCCACCCACTTTTTTTCCCCCCAAGATTTCCAAGGCATGATTACAAGCACCACAGGGTACCTCCAGGGTCAAATACCCGAAGAATTCGAGTCAATGGATCTTTATGTTATTGACTGATTAGAGTTAAAATACTTGATTATAAGACAAAGGAGTAAAACCATATCATTGGATCATAGAATGGCCTGGGTTGAAAAGGACCACAATGATCATCTAGTTTCAACCTCCTTGCTATGTGCAGGGTCACCAATCACCAGACCAGGCTGCCCAGAGCCACATCCAGCCTGGCCTTGAATGCCTCCAGGGATGGAGCATCCAGAGCCTCCTTGGGCAACCTGTTCTAGTGCATCACCACCCTCTGTGTGAAAAACTTCCTCCTAATATCTAACCTAAACCTCCCCTGTCTCAGTTTAAAACCATTCCCCTTGTCCTATCACTATCCACCACTATATTTACAAAGAAAATCAAACTTCAAAAGTGCTATTCTGTGAGAGTTCCTACAGGCTGCACCTTGACACTGACACACGTTTCAGCCATTGCAGGATTAGCTTAAGACAACGGATGCTGTCTGATAATTCTATGGTCCTTAAAGCTATCTTGATGAATTCTATCACTGTGCAGATAACCACGGATTGTTTGAACAGTTTCCCGAATTAAAAGATGGGATTATTCGGGGAGAAGGAATCAGCTGGTGCTGCAAAAAGTCCAAGTTTACTTGAAGCGAGGCAAGTTTGGCAGCTTTAGGTCGACTTCAGGCTGTCAGAGCAGTCACTGGGAAAAGGCAATGAAAAACAAGCAGCAGGTTGCACAGAAGCCCACGTGGCCTCGCTGGCACCAGCAGCAGCAGCAGCAGCAGCAGCCCCGTGCGCTGTAGACATTCACAGAGCGGCAGGAGCGTTTCTAAGGGAGCAGACAACCTCAGCTCGCGCAGCGCCATACAACAGAACGCCGCTCACCTGGGAGCCCGGCGTTCTTCTCTCAGCTTTAAGCACCGCTTTCACCTTCCCCCTCCCCCAGACCTACTTAGAACGCTTCTACGTTAACCTTCTAGGACAGCGATAAGTGCTTCCCCACCGCCCCACGAGCTGCCCCCACGCCACCCCTGGTTTCCCTTCCAGCACCCGAGGGTCACGCTCCAACCCTTCTTGGCTCCCACTCTATTCTTCCCTCCTCCCGCAGCGTTTCTTTCCCGCAGCCCGGCGGGCACCTACCGCGGAATTGGAAGCGCGCCACGGGCCGCCAAGGCTCCAGCCGGGCGGCGGAGCTGACGAAGCCGCCCCGCAGCGTCTTGCTCCAGGCGGCGCCCCCGGCGCACAGCAGCCACAGCAGCCGCCACCCCATGGCGGGGATTCACCACCCCCCCGCCACGTGACCAAGCGGCCCCGCCGGGCTACGACTGGGGAGGGAGGAGAGGGGAGGGGGCGTGTCCGCGCTCTTTGCGCATGCGCGCGGGGCAGGTCGTACGCCGCCGTAAAGCGCGGACGATGTCGGAGCCGCCGGCCCGCGCGGAGGTGCGGCGCTTTGAGAAGCGGCTGTTGGTGACGGGCGGCGCCGGCTTCATGTGAGCGGTGGTCTCGTGTGCCGCCGCTTTGCGGTGGGGCCACGCGGCGCGGGGAGCTGTGGGACGTGGCGGTGGGCGGGCCGGCATGCTGGGAGCTCATAAGCGCGTCCTGGGGTGGGGCTGCGACGGGTCGGGTTTCTGTGTGCCGCCAGTCTTAAAAGGCTGAGCGCAGGTCGAAGTCCCACCTAAGGCGAGTTTGTGGCCTCGTGTGGGTTTATCTTACGTAGGGGTATCTTAAAATCCAAAATCTCTCGGTGGGCTGTGCTCTTGAGTATGATTCCCTCGTCCTCTGAACTCTTTTATTACCAAACGTGTAATCTCCTATTGCTTTGCTGCCTGAAAACTAGCGGTGTGGTTGTAAAGATGGTCTTCTTCTTCCATCCTGCAGTGCTTCGCACGTAGTTGTGTCGCTGGTCAGGAACTATCCCAACTATCTGATTATAAATCTAGATAAGGTAAGCAAGCTGTCTTCTTTCTTGCCAGGTAAGACCCTTTTATTAAAGCTTTTAAATACAGCCTGTCGTATCGTAGAATCATGGAATGGCCTGGGTTGGAAAGGACTACGATGAGCATCTAGTTTAACCCTCCTGCTATGTACAGAGTTATGTTGAAGTCTACTTGGAATGCTATTTGTTGAATTTCCTTTTGACTTCTTGCTGGTTTCCATGTGGAGAGTATCAAACTATTATTATCTTAAGGGTTTTGAAGTGATGGATATCCAGGCACTCATGAAATTGTTAGGATATCTTTCAGACTTCTGTGTTTCTCATGCTTCATTGCATTTGCTTGTAAGATAGTTTTTCTTTCAGAGAGGTTTTTGCTTTATTCTTAAGTATTCTTAAGCTTGCTCATAATTGGGTTGGAGCTGAGTTATTTTTGTCTGAAAACGACTGATAATACTTCATGTGTATTTCTCCTTAGCTCGACTACTGTGCAAGCTTGAAGAATCTTGAAACTGTCTCTGAGAAGGAAAACTACAAGTTTATCCAGGTAACAAAGCCTTCTTTTCTAGGGAACTTGGCTGTTTCATTTTTGTGTGGTGGTTTATAGCAAAGTAATGTAGTTTCCAGACCTCCCAAAAACTTGAGGGTAAGGCCACTGCTTTTCTGTAAATTAAAGTGGAAATTACTTCTTTGTTGTTGAGAATAAGTCAGTGTATGAAATATGCTCCTATATCTGACACTCGAATAGAGATAAAAGCATATACCTTTATTAAAAGACCTTATGTTTCAGCTGAGAATTCTGACAGTATAAAGCTGTGTGACACTATCATCTGACTCTTATGTGAAGCAGTCTTTGAAAATAGATATTATATTGTTCAATAAAGGTTCAGAGTATAGAAAGCTGTTTTTCAGGATGATTCGTTAACTTCTAAGACTGCTTTTGATAGGTGGGACAGACAGGATGGCCTCAGATCTGACTCCTTCAGGCTTATCTTAGATTTTCCACCTTCAAATGCTGCAGCTTGTCATTTTCCATACTGTGTAACATTCTTTATTCTATCTGTGCTAAAGATCAGGCTCTGATGTTCTTAGTTCTGCTTTTGTGTACTCTATGGTTTTGGAACATGGTCTAGGTTCAAGGTATGCTTTTTCTTCATAGGATGTTGCTGGTTAAATTAGTTTACTGTGTCAGTATTTTAGGCTCCAGATAGTGGATGGATTTAGGCTTCTTGTTTGGATAAATATTCAGGCTGCTGGGTTTGTGTACTGAGGTTCTGCTGTGTAGAACTCAGTGCTGATGCTAGTTCCTTTGTCAAACTAGGTTGTCTGAGATTGCGGGGCATCAGAGAAAAGCATATGGTTCACTTTTCTGAAATACCAGTCAGTTTAATATATGTGACAACTCTTTGCAGTGGCAGGAAATGTAAACTGAGCTTCTCTCTTAAATTCAAGCAGTCAAACTTTTCCACACTTGTTTGGTGCTCCCCATAGCTGTTTATTTTTGTAAACCTTTCAAATCCTGTTAGTGACTATCCTGGAGTTGTTGGATGCAATTTGCTTGAGGGAAAGGGAATGTGTACCAAGCAAATATACTTGGTTTCAGGATGCCAGAAGTACTTTTGTTGTTTTTCCTAATGTTTTTAATACCTCCCAGTGCATGATGCAATATGTGTGAATGCTGTATAGGACACAAGACAACCTACATGTAACTGTGTTTTAGAAGAAAAATATACACTTAAGAAATCTTACTGAATGCTCTTTCTTTAAAGAGGAAAATAAAACAGAAACCGAAAACCACTATAGAATTTGGTTTTCTATTAAAAAAAAATCTAGTCATATTCAAAATAATCCAATTTCTTATATGCATTACTTTGAAGCTGTTGTTTGGCATAATTGCATGAGAACTTCTAAAAAACATAGCTGATCTTGAACTGTGTTCAGTTAATTGTCTTGTTCTTGAAAGTACAAAAGCCTTCCTCTTCCCCCCTGACATTGCTTCCTTTGAGGTACTCTTGTTTAAGTTGAGCCAGTAAGTAAGTATCAAAAGCTTCTTCTCAGTTCTTGTTTACATTTGAAAACTGCCCTTGTTTGTTTGTCACATTAACAAACGACTCCATGCTATGCTCGTTTCCAATTATCTCGATGATTCTGGTAATAAAAACAAAACCTAAGAAAACTGTTGGCAAATTTCCATCTGCTTTTGACAGCAGTGGAAATGAAGTTCATCTCTAATGCCACTGGGTGTCACCGTCTGCAAACTTTACTTGTGATAAGCACGCATCCCAGTTGTAGCATAGGAGCTACACGCTGTGTCTTTGCTGTGTATGTTTTGGAGGTCTTCTTGTTCCCTGTGTTAAGTAGTAATATAAATCCTGAAACGATGTATCTATGGCAATGGCTATTACTCAAACAGTGAAGATCTTCTTTTAGACCTGGCTTTGGTATAATGCCCCAAACTCTGTTGCTAACTGTCTTTGTATCTGTGGAGAGCTAAAAAAAAGTATCTGATTGTATTTAAAGGTCTGGATTTCAGTTATAAATTCCACTTTTAACAGGACATAGTGACAGTTCTCTATTATAACTATTAAAGAGTAAGCGAGTAATCCCAGGATTCTGATATAAGACTCATATTTTGGCATTGCAGGCTTGTTCTTACTGCAGAACTTTTTTCTTGTGCCTGCTTTGTAATGATTTGTTACATGGTACTTGGTACAAATTAAAGCTTACTATTTTTATCAAAAAATAATTTATTTTATTTCCTGTTTAGGGGGACATTTGTGAACCTCATTTTATCAAACAGCTTTTTGAAACTGAGAAAATTGACATAGTTCTTCATTTTGCAGCTCAAACACATGTAGGTGAGCACTGTAGCATGTTTTAGTATTATTTCTGTATGTATGTTTTGAAATAATATACTGATATTTCCATATTTTTTTTTCCTCTTTCACATAAAACAGATATACAGTCCAACATCCTTACGGACTGCATGATTCAGCTGGGCAGCCTTTTTAACTTAGGGGGTTCACAGCTTTAATTAAACAACAGTCAGATAAGGCAGTTTTTATTTTTGACCATGTATATATATTTATTATTATATTTTAAATTCCATCTAGACACACATAGCTGCCAGTGCACTCATGTCATGTGGTGTCTTGAAGACAGTTTCCCTTGATTGACTACAATATTGCAGGAAAAACTAGAGTGGAAGCTAAGAGTGAGTGTAGCTCCCTTTAGAATTCTTCCAGGGTTCTAAGAAGTGGCAAAATGGATTACACATTGAAGTGCCTATTTCAGATTGTCAGTCTTCTGTAAAGCTGTTAATGAGAGCTATCCCTGGCACATTCCTTCCATAATGAGCAAAAGTCATTGAAGAATTCTCTGGGAAAATTCTTCTCAGGTTTCACAACATTGATATGCACAAAGTCATTAGGTCAGTGGGATGATTCTAAGAATTAAAACAGGTGGTTGTTTGTTAACAGTAATAAATATATATTGTGGTTTTGAATGATACTTCTCTTAGTAAACTTGGCACTTCACGGTGAAGAGGGGAATTAGCTATGCTGCCATTTAACTAAAACTAAGTGCTATTTCAAATTGAATATCCCCAGATAACAAGCTTTTGCTCCTCATTCTGACCTATTGTTGAGAGCAAGGATTTTTTTTTGTCTTTGTGTAAGTGTAGAAAGTATCTTCATTTAATGATAACCTTGCTACCTGACAGTTGAGCAGATGGTAAAATCATAAAATCGTAGAATTGTTCAGATTGGAAAAGACCTTAAAAATCAAGTTCAACCACAACCCAGCCATAGTACCCTAACTCTAACAACCCTCTGCTAAGTCTTGCCCCTGAGCACTATATCCAGTCATCCACAACCTCCCTGGGCAGCCTATTCCAGTGCTTAACAACCCCTTCTGTAAAGAAGTGTTTCCTGATATCCAGCCTAAACTTCCCCTGGTGCAACTTCAGGCCATTTCCCCTTACGCTGTCACCTGTCCCCAGTGAGAAGAGACCAGCCCTGCTCTCACTGTAAGCACCTTTCAGGTATTTGAAGAGGGCAATGAGGTCTCCTCAGCCTCCTCTTCCGCAGACTAAACAGCCCCTGTTCCTTTAGTGCTCCTGTTAAATGTTACAGTTCATTAGAAAACCATGTATTGCCTAAATTTAATATGAATTATGGATTGATTTTTTTTTTTTAATTCTTTTCTGTAGATCTCTCATTTTGGCATGCCCTGGAATTCACTTATGTGAATGTTTATGGCACTAATGTACTGGTTGCTGCTGCCCATGAAGCCAATGTGGAGAAGTTTGTCTATGTCAGTACAGATGAAGTATATGGAGGCAGCACTGATCAGGTGAGTTTAAAAGTGTGTGGTCCCTAATCTTTCTTGGCTTCTTTAAGTGTGTTATTTTTGATAATACTTAACCTTGCAA